GGGGCCGAGTGACCTCCCAGGCCCCAAAACACCTCAAACCTCCCCAAAAAAATCCCACCCCAAAACCCCCCTGAGATGTTTCCACCACCCCAACCCCAGTGGTCAATCAAGATCCTCGTTAATTAATGATGGGAGGAGCTAATTAAGGGTGGGGGAGGGGATGAGAGAACTCCCAGGCCCCAAAACACCTCAAACCTCCCCAAAAAATCCCACCCCGAAACCCCCCCGAGATGTTTCCACCACCCCAACCTCAGTGGCCAATCAAGATCCTCGTTAATTAACACAGGGAGGAGCTAATTAAGGGTCTGACTGGGACTAATTAGGGGTGTGGGAGGGGCCAGGCCCCAAAACATCTCAAACCTCCCCAAAAATCCTACCTGGGAACCCCCCTGAGATATTTCCACCACCCCAACCCCGAGTGACCAACCAAGATCCTCATTAATTAAGAATGGGAGGAGCTAATTAAGGGTGGGGGAGGAGCCGAGAGACCTCCCAGACCCCAAAACACCTCAAACCTCCCCAAAAAATCCCACCTGGGAACCCCCCTGAGATATTTCCACCACCCCAACCCCAGTGACCAATCAATATCTCCATTAATTAAAAATGGGAGGAGCTAATTAAGGGTGGGGGAGGAGCCGAGAGACCTCCCAGACCCCAAAACACCTCAAACCTCCCCAAAAAAAAACCCCCCCACCCCGCGCCATCCCCACCACCCCAAGAACCCCCCCGAGATATTTCCACCACCCCTCCAAACCCTTCCAGCAGAGCAATCAACGCCGGGGTCTTTATTGGAGGACGGGGTGGGCGTGGCCATGGGGGGGGTGAGGAAGAGGAGGATGAGGAGGAGGAGAAGATGGTGGGGGAGGGGTGGACGTGACCTTCAGAGGCGCCGGATCTTCATCTCGCTGCGCTTGAGGGAGTAGTAGAAACCTTTCCACTGGGCCCAGTTGATGCCGTTGGCGTAGGACAGGTGAGGCCCGGCCAGGTAGAAGCCGTTGAGGTTGGAGAAGTGGCAGCTGCGGAACCACCAGGCCCCCGAGGAGAGGGCGGCGCAGTTCTGGGCGAAGAGGTCCTGGTCGCGGTCGAAGGTGGAGAACTTCTGGCCGTTGTGGTAGCTCAGGGAGTCGCCTGGTGGTGGTGGGGGGGGTGGGTGGTGGGGGGTGGGCGGTGGTGGTGGCCTCGTGGATCTTCTCGGGGGTGGGTTTGGGTTGGTTGGTCACCGTTGATCACCGGCCATCACCGACCTCCACTGACCACCACTGACCACTGACCACCACTGACCTCCATTGACCATCACTGACCTCCATTGACCATCACTGACCACTGACCACCACTGACCTCCATTGACCATCACTGACCTCCATTGACCATCACTGACCTCCATTGACCATCACGGACCTCCATTGACCATCACTGACCACTGACCACCACTGACCTCCATTGACCATCACTGACCTCCATTGACCATCACTGACCTCCATTGACCATCACTGACCACTGACCACCACTGACCTCCATTGACCACCACTGACCTCCACTGACCATCACGGACCTCCATTGACCATCACTGACCTCCATTGACCATCACTGACCACTGACCACCACTGACCTCCATTGACCACCACTGACCTCCACTGACCATCACGGACCTCCATTGACCATCACTGACCTCCATTGACCATCACTGACCTCCACTGACCATCACTGACCTCCATTGACCACCACTGACCACTGACCACCAATGACCTCCATTGACCATCACTGACCACTGACCACCACTGACCTCCATTGACCACCACTGACCTCCATTGACCACCACTGACCATCGATGACCACCGATGACCATGGATGACCACCACCGACCTCCAATGACCACCGATGACCACTGATGATCTCCAATGACCTCCATTGATCACCAATGACCACCAATGACCATCGATGACCACCAATGATCTCCAATGACCTCCATTGACCACCAATGGCCACCAATGACCACCAATGGCCACCGATGACCACCGATGACCACAGATGGTCACCACTGACCACTGGTCACTCACCGGCTCCTCCGTCCACGAAGCCGGCCACGTGCAGGGCGTAGCCGTCCTCCTCGGCGCTGACCGCGGTGGGGGACAACGCGAAGGAGCCGTAGGTGGCCGCGGCCGAGTTGTTCTCGAAGTCCTCGAGCTCCACCCGCAGCTCGTAACGGGCCTGGAGGGTCAGCAGGGCCAGGGACTGCAGGCCTGGGGTCAGAGGTCACCCAGGGGTCACTCAGGGTCACTCAGGGTCACTCAGGGTCACCCAGGGGTCACTCAGGGTCACTCACGGTCACTCAGGGTCACTCAGGGGTCACTCAGGGTCACTCA